GTGTCCCATCAGTGTCTGCAACCCTCACAGCAAACACAGTCTGGTGCGCTGCCCCAGTATCGCCTCTGCCCAGAGCATACCAGCATCGTGGCACAGCACTGAACCTGTGCGGGGTTCTCCATATGCCTCCTGCTTGATATTACAGTTTGGGCAAAGGGAGGGAAGAAAGAACACTGAAAAAAATGCAAATTCTCACTACAGAGCCCTGCCCAAGGGCAGAGGAGAAAGGGGAAAGCAGCCGCCAGTTTGGCAGCAGCGACTGTGCCTTGGTGCTGGGAGGCTCAAGGGAAGGAAACGCTCATAGGCTGTTCAGGAGGGAGCTGCTGGCAAGGGAAAAGCAACCCTGCGTCTAGGAGTAACGTCATGAGCTATGTGGGAGAACGGATTTTAGGCAGGGCTTGCATGGGAGGCTGCACTACGTAGCCTCGAGAAGACCCTGCCGGACAGCACAGCTGTGGCTATATGATGGTGCCAGCAAAGACTGAGGCCAACCAAGGATGGTTTAGGAAGGGCTGTTCTTGGGTAGCAGGTACTGGGAGCTGACTGGGCTCAGCACAAACAGATCAACACCTTTGCAAGTGCTATGGTGTTTGCTAGTGGTGTTAGACCAGACTGCAGGACTGACATCCCTGGTTCAATCTTACTGACAAACAGCATGACTGTGCTTTGATCTCTCCAGTTCAGCTTCTTTTTCCATAATTATTGACAGGCACCTAGCATGCTCCACCACATCAGATTCTGCCAGAGTCCTGCTTTCGCCTGGGCTGGAGCTTCGGCACAGAGAAAACTCCCCAAGCCCCAGCTAGATGATGCAGGGGAACCTCCATGTACTACTCTTGCTGATCCCTGTTGCTATGTGCCTTGAAATAGGAAGATTTTATTTTAAAATCCTGACTGCTCTCCACCAGTATCTTTGCACATCAGCGGATTTGCTCCAGTTGAGCTCTGGACCAAACCAGTGCCTGGTTGCAGGAAGTCCCCAGAAAGTGACCTTCCCACTTGCTGCTTTTTGGTGTCACTGGACACCTTCATTGGGTACGTGATGGGGCAGGGTGACTGGGTGACGCGGCTGTGCTCCTGGTTACCTCTCTGTCCTGTTCAGCTCACCAAGTCTGTGCGACCTCCACCACTGAGAGACCAAAGCACCCCATGGCTGCTTACCTGCACCTTGGCAAAATACTTACAACCCTAAAACTCCTGCTCTGAAGTCACCTCGAAACACCACCCACCTCAACTTCTACCAGTGCATCTCCTGAGCATCTGGTGGCCTTTGTCAGACCTTGGTGGAGGCCTGACTCCACAGGCTAGGAACACAGCACCACCTGGTGAAGATCCACGGCTTAGCTCTGGCTTGACCATGGGGAGGTACTGCTGCTCCACTTTCGCTTGTGGTGCTATTAAAATAAAAAGAAAAAAGGGAGAGAAGAGGAGCAGAACGTGCGTGTCAGGGCAGATCTGCAGAGAGCACGCACAGAGCGGAGTGAGTGTGCACAGGGCAAGTATGTGCAGGGAGTGGGGTGAGCGTGCGTGTGTGCCCAGTGCAAGCATGCACAGAGCAGCGAGTATGTGCGCAGAGAGGAGTGAGGGTGCCTGTGTGAGCATGCACAAAGCAGCAAGTATGTGCACTGAGCAGGGTGAGTGAGCACATCGGCACAGAGCAGCAAGTTTGTGCACGGAGCAGAGTGAGTGGGCATGTGTGCACAGCATAAGTGTGCACAGAGCAGGGTATGCAGTGTGAGCATGCACAGAGCAGCAAGGATGCAGAGTGAATGTCCACACATCAGAGTACGCAGAGCAGAGTACACAGTGAATGTGTACAGAGCAGGGTGAGTGTGCACGCTGTAAGCATGCACAGACTGGTGTGAGTGAGCACAAAAAGAGCACACACAGGGCAGAGCAACCGTGCACAGACCACTGGGACAACTCTGTCAGGTCCCAGGTGAGAACAAAACCTGCAAACTTATTCAATGGTTGCAGACCTGGCCAGGTTAACATTTGGTGGGTGACAGGCACTGTTGGGCAAAGACGTAAAGAATTAAGGTCCTTTCCCTGTGAGACAAATTGGTCCTTTCCCTGTGAGACAATGAACGTGGTTGTCCGGAGTCCTCACCACCAGGCTGTTCCTGACCCTGCAACAGGTTTCTCTCCAACTCTCCTGTTACTTGTTGTGTTGTTCCAAGGTTGCTTTATTTTGCATGGAATAATTAATTATGTACCACTGTGCAGGGCAGGGGTGGTTTGAGAGCAGGGCTGTAGCAGTCCTGCCTTTCCTGGGTAACATCAAGCAGGCAACCTGTGACTGGCAGCACAGCACCTAGCTACCCAGATAGGGTTTAATTTTTCTTGCCGTCGCCCTGTGCGCCACTGAGGACCTTGCAGAGGGATTGCTGCCACAGGGCAGCAATCCAGGCTCCTGCTGTGGATGGTCCCGTGGGAGGGAGCATCTGCACTTTGGCTCTGGCCTCAGTGAGCACTGTAATAACTTGAGAGGAGGGGGTCCTCTCCAGCTGCCCTGGGGTGGTGCCTCTCTCTTTGGAGGTCTGGGGCTTTCGGGCTTCCTGCAGGGTCAGAAACCCATCATCCGCACTGAGCAGACCTGGGAGAAGTGAATGGTCTTATTGCATGGCCCACCACCCGCCCCAGCAGCTCATGGCCCTCAGAACCCCTTTTCTCATCCATTTTGGACACCTGAGGGGCGTGCTGCTCTATGGCCCATGCAGCTGCAGCTTCAGGGGAGTGGAGAGCTGCCGTCCCAGGGAGCTAATGCCTGAGGGAGCATTGCAAGGTGCTGGCTGAGACCCACCGGAGGAAGCAATGCCCTGTGCACCTCTGTTTTCTGGCTGCACTTTAGAGACAGCTGGTACCTGCACAGCCCTCTGACTCTCTCCAGGTACAGCCAAGACCCTAGAAACCCTTTGACTTGTGCTGATGTTAGGTCAGACATTAGTTTTAAAAATAAAACCAGCTCCACTCCAGAGGGGTCCTGACAAAGACCTTTTCAAAAGTCCAAAATTATTATATCAATTACTCAGAAAGGCAGAAAGCTTCAACTTGCTGTCCAGCAGCATCCCAGATCCCTTCCTGCAAAGCTTCCTCCTGCTCCCCACCTGTCCTATTGCGTGGGGTTTTCCCATGCCAGCGGAAGGGCTTTGCATTTGTCTCCGTTAAATGCCAGTAGGTTCCTGCCAGCTCATTTCTCCAGCCTGTCAAGCTCTTTGAATGGCAGCCCTGTCCTCCAGCGTATCGACTGCTCCTTGGTTTGGTGTCTCCTGCAGACCTGCCGAGGGCTCAGGAGGCTTAGCTGGTTGGTGTATGCTGCCCAGCCTCTGTTTTGGGGGTCAAATACCTACTCTTTTCCTCCACCTGCCCTGCTGACCTGATTTTATTTGGGATGCTGCATCTCCAGCTGCAAAATGGCATGAGCATTGCAGCTGCATTTTAAAAGCAGCCCAATGCTGCTGCACAAGGAGGGCTTTGGGATGCAACACCGAACATCTCTGCCCTGACTTTCTGATAGGAGGTAGACGCCTGGGGACACAGGGTGGTTGCACCCCTGGGGACAGATGCAGCAGATTTTGCTGGGGGAAGGACAAAGTGGCGAGGACGAGGCATTAACCCAGGGCCACAAGAGGCGGCACTGATCCTGCCTGGTGCCTTCTCCCAGACCTTAGGGGCAAGGCCTCCCACTTCTGTCCGGTCCCTGCAAGCTTTGCCCTCGTCCCAGCCTGCGGGACGGGGATGCTCCCGGTGGCGCGGTGAGGGCTGAGCCAGTCTCCAGTGCCACCTGCCGGCAAATCATCCTGTCCAGAAGCTGGAGCCTTCAAGCTGGCCGCACCAGTGCCAGTCACTGTCCTGGTGAGCTGGAGAGCTGGGCAGCCCAGAGCTGTGGAGCCCACAAGCAGACCCCCAGAGCTCAGTGGCGATGCTCCATAAAAGCCAGTCCATATCCACACCCCCTGCCAAGACCCTTTATCATCATCCCCTTCATCCAGTCCCTTTCGAATCCCAGACCCCCCCCCCAAATTTCTCCTTTTCTGTCCTGGGCACCCCCCGTGTATACCCCCATGGGCTTCCCACCCCACAGCTGCCACGGCTGGGGGCTGCAGGCAACCTGCCCACCCAGGTACAATGCTGGATTGTCACCTGCCCCAGGGACAGTGACATCCTTGGGGTCGTAAAGACCTTGTGGTCCTTATTCATCTGGGGGTCCTTGAGTCCATCAGCTCTACTATCAGTAAAGACATCTCTGGGAGGGCTAGGCTGTGCTATAGGCCTTGCATGTGTTGGTCCTCACTGGGGTTATGGGGCTGCTCTGGGCCCTGTCCAGCTGCACCAGGGGAGACCCATGTGCCCCACACCTCTCCCATCACAGCATCAAGCTCTGGCTTCCCCACATACACCTGGGTCATCTTGTCACAAGTTTTGACAAAATTCTGTGGATATTATTGTCACCCCCTACCCCCCAAAAAAGTCTAAAGGAGGTTGGTGTCCCTGGATCCTACCAGCCTCAGGACTCTCCAGTACAGCACCACCTCCAGCATCTCCCCATCTACCCCCAGTATCCAGTGGCCCCAATTTTCCCACTATGTCATGTGTCCCTGCCCCCTGCTAGAGACCAGGCTTCCTCTCCCTGTTTTCCTAACACTGGGCTAGGACTTTCTCTTCGTGACTCTGGAAGGCAATACTCAGCATGGTTCAGCAAGAACTGCCTTAATTGTCTGGCTTTGCTCAGCAGTAATGAGATGCTAATGAGCCTAGGCTGCACCAGGGGTGCAGGAGGCAACGCTTGGAGTATCTTGAGCTTTATTTGGGGGAAAGGAGACAAACCCTAGGCAGGAAGGAATCAGCAGCACAAGGAGCTGTCATTTAATGTGCAAGACTGGCAGTAACATGCTTAGGGCACCAAATCTGGAGCAAAGAGTAATTTCCACGGGAGTCCTCAGCCCTGCAGGGGCCAGCCGGCAGCAGGAGAAGGGCTGCAGAGAGACACCTTCAGTGGACTAAGCCTCGGGGAAGATGAGGAAGCCAGAGAAGATGCTGTCAGATCCTTCGATCCCCACCAGGGAGTTCTTCTCTGTTGGCTCCAGCCAGACAGACTCGCTTGCTGCCATCTTGAGGACCACGCCACCCGTGGTGACCTGGTAGCTGCTCTGCACATAGTCACAGAAAGTCACCACTTTCTCACCCCTGCTGCCACCCCGGCCCTTTTTCAGGCTGAGGCACAGGTTGGCCCTGGAAGTGACGTGGTAGGTGAAGTAGTAGATGCCCGGGATCTCACAGTTGAAGCGGCCGTACCGGTTCTCGTAGTGGCCCTTCTCATTGGTGATGATGCGGTCGAAGCGGATGGGCTGATCCCGGCGTGGGTAGGAGCTGATGGTCCTGGCAGCAGAGAAGGCAGACTTGAGAGTGGCCTTGTAGTCACCAGAGTCCCCCTGAGGGCCAGGGATTCCCATGGCACCTGGTATTCCCCTTGGACCTGGGGGGCCCCTGGGGCCAATCTTCCCAGGGTGCCCCGGCAGTCCTGGGTCTCCCTTCTCCCCCATGTCTTCTTCGTCCTCCACCTGGCCAGGGGGACCTAGAAAGGAGGAGGAAGAGTCATTGTGGTTGCAGCTGAGTCCCACAGGTCTGCAGAGGGGGCACTGGGAAGGAAACCACCGGTATCTGTGCTGGGGTGCGGGTCAACAGAGACCCCTGCCCACCTGGCAGGTGTGACACCCGTTGCTCTCATGCACCCTCCCTCCCCAGGTTCCTTGGGGTGCTCCGGACTGTCCAGCCCCTTCTGTCCCCAAGCAACACCCCCACCTGATAACATCCCAAAGGGGCTGTTGGAAAATGGATTGCTTTCACTGGACCACGTGCCTGGCAGTGTCTTTTCCTGCTCTCGATATTCACAAGATGACATTTTCCCCACCTGCAGCCTCCTCCTTACCTCGCTCGCCCTTTAGGCCATTCTCCCCATCTCTGCCGTTGCTGCCAGGCTGTCCTGGTGCCCCTGGGATACCTGGGATGGTGCCATAGGTCTTGCAGAGTGTGGCAGTTGCAAGCTGCCCTCCAGCCAGGCAGATCAGCATCGCCCACGCAGTCTGCATCTGCTGGAGCACAGAAGGATGTCGAGAGGCTTACCTTGGGCAGTGGGAGGGATGGGGAAGGCATTCTGTGTAGCTCTGGAGGACGATGACTAAAAGTGCATCTGGGTAATACCATCAGGGAGGAAAAACATCCTGCTGCAGAGCCAAATCCGCTCTTGTGATGGCCTTGGAGGGACCAGCCCCTTGGGGCATAGGAGGGCTTGTCAGTCTCTTCTCACTCTTAAATTACCGGTTTACAAGTGCCCAGAGCTTCAGCCACATGAATATCTGAGGACAGGTTAGCTTGCCCCAGAGGTCTGATGTCCAGCCTGGCCATGCTGCTGCCATGGGCATGTGCTGCAGGTCCCTACTGCTCTGAGACCCTCCTGCTCTCTCAGAGGATAAATTCTCCATCCCATCTTAGGACCACACCTGCAGGGTAAAATCTTTCCTCAGGCCAGAACAGTTATCTGCAAGGGGATAGTTCTTGCTTTCCACCACCATACCTGAGGAACAGCTTTAGTCCTTGCAGATGGCAGTGAAATCCCCAAACCTGCCCTCCTAAGCCCTGCAGGTTCCCGTTGCGTCCTGCCACACACCTGCTTCATCCCAGGAGCATTTCTGTGTCTGACCAGTCTTACTGGGACAGTCATCTGGGCTTCCAGTCCCAGGGTCCCATCTTCCTTCTGCCCTCCCTGCATCCCACAGCTTGGCTCCTCCCCCCAGCTCCTGGTACAGGTGAATGTGTGGTAAGCGCTGGGCATTTGGGGGCTGTATCTGGACATCACATCACCCCAGCCACACTCTCTGGCCTCAGGTGGACTCTCCCAGCACTGAAACTCTGGTATCAGCAGGAAAAGAGGTCAGTGAGTTGGATCCTCCAGCCACAGAAACTCTGATTCAGATGCAGAATGTACAAGGACTGATCCACAGGCTCCCACCCCCAGGTCCAGGCAGACAAGAGCATCTCAGGGCAGGAAAGCACCCTGAGGGCACCTTTCAGACTGCTGCTCAGTCCCTGATCACCCCTATGGACCTTTGCCATCTCCCCTTTCCATGTCCCCCTTCTCTGGGTGGAGCAGGAGGGATCGGGGACCCATCAGGAATCTCCACCACCCCCAGCCCAACAGCTCCCTTTCTCTTCTGCCCCAAGCCACAGTGAAGTGCCAGTGATGGAGGGGGTGACCGTCACCCTGGTGCTGCTGGGTTCCCCACGTGTTTCTACCTTCCTTGCTGACATCTTGCTCTTACCTTGAGCTTCTTGTTGCACAGATGGGGAGATGGAGCAGGACACACCGGCGTCCCAGTTGGAAGTGACTGCAAGGAGAAACAGAAGTTTGCTGCAAGGGTTATTGTGAAAGGATCTGGGCCACGTCCCTTTTTTATCTTTAGCTCCTACTCTTTCTTCAGTGGCACTTTCACATCCACCACGAATGCTTTCGGTCAGATCAGCAGAACATGCTGTCCCCAAATAGCACCCTGGGGTCCCTCGGGCATACAGCTCTGGCCCCAGGGTGATGTCCACTCTGCCCTGCAGGGGCCCTGGGTCCTGCTCAGATGTGCTTACTGCAGGGAACGCTCCATGAGCTCCAGACAAGTTTGGGGTAACCCCTCAGGACTGCAGAAATGTGCACACACATCCCTCAGGCTTCTCCGTACATACCCAGCTCTGCTGGGAGGTACTGGCAAGGCTCAGAGGATGCTACAGGGTCTCAGCATCCATCACCTTGTATCTGTCCCCCAAGGTCTCCTAAATGTTGTGGATGGGAAGTGATTTCACCCTGCAGTAAAAGCATTTCCAGTCCTGCTTTCTGCTGATGCCTTGTGGAGGTGAAGCCCAGGCCGTTTAGGGGAGATGACCTCCTTTTCCACTGTACAATGTGTGCCCCTGGGAGGAATCTCCATTGGGTTTTGGTGGGCTGTGTAGCCTCCACAGCCACCAGCTCCTTTGGTCTGGCTCAGGGAAGCCGGTGCTTCCCCTGCCCTGTGCCTGGTGAGCCTGGGACCCTGTGGATGTCCCAGCCACCAGAGGCATGGCTATGAGGTTTGCTGTGTGGTCTGTGGCCCTCTGCAACTGAATTTCATCCTCTTGGAGGCAAAGGGGAGTATCAGGGCCCCTGCTTGGAGGAGTCTTAGTCCCTCCACTTTGTGGGAGCTGTGTGTATGGGCACAGGAACTGTCCCCTTCCTGCAGTCAGTGCAGCTGGGGTTCCTACCCCACTGAGCAAAGCCAGGGTTGTGAATGGTGTGTTATGCTCACTGATGCTGAGCACGGCCAAGCCAGTGAGGGTTCAGGGACATTCTGATGCCATGCAGACGTCCAGATGTCATGCACACACGCATACGCACATGTGCACACTACATCCATCAGACCACACGTGGGCTCCACCTGCAGAAAGGGAAGTCATGGAGGAAAAAACACACTAGGCCAGGTGCACTGGAGAAGGTTTTATTGACACTTTCCATAGCCGGGTCATGGCAAAGGTGCTGCTGCAAGCCTGCTCCAGGATACCTGGCTGTCCCTGGTGCAACCCAGGTGGGAAGGGGAGAGATACAGAGAGACCTCTGTCTCTGGCAGCAGAAGGTAGTGTGGGGTTATCATGGTGGATGCACGTGGCAGTGCCAGCGGGACCCCAGGGGCTTGGCACCATCACTCTGGGTGGAGATGCATCCAGATGTGCCTATTCCCCCTGTTCAGTGGCTGCCTACACTCAGTCCCCAGGCCAGGGGGTTGTGTCTGGTGGCTGGGGCTGACTCCTTCGCTGGGGCTTCCCACCCAGCAGAGAAACCTGGAGCGTCACAACAGCCTGGCAGTGAGCAGCAGGGTTTGCAGGGCAGGGTGAAGAGGTTGGTGTGCTGGCGTGGGGTCTGGTGGTCCTCTAGTCGGGGAAGAGCAGGAACCCTGAGAAGACACTGTCAGAGCTGCCGATGCCCACCATGCCGTTGTAGTCATTCACCGCCAGCCAGACCTCGTTCCCAGCATCCACGTGGAGGATGATCCCACCAGAGCTGACCTGCATGGTGTTGGTCTTGTGGTCACAGAAGCTGGCCATCTTGCTCCCGTTCTTGTACAGGATGATGCAGAGGTTGGCTGTCTGCGAGGTGTGGAACACAAAGTAGTAGAGGCCAGGGATGTTGCAGGTGAACTTGCCCGTGGTGGTGTTGTAGTCATGGTTGGTGTTGGTGATGACGTGGTTGAACACCACGGGGACGTTCTTCAAGGGGTGCTCGCCAGTCTGCCTCGTCACTGAAAATGCTGACTGGTGCTTCTGCTTGTAGCTGCCTGGCATACCCGGCTCTCCCGTCATGCCCGTCATCCCAGGGTCTCCATTGGGACCAGGGAGACCCCTGGGACCAGTCTTGCCTGGCAAGCCAGGGCTGCCTGGTTCCCCTTTCATGCCCTTGGGCCCTCGTGTTGCAGGACCTCCTGGGATGCCTGTGGGGTGGTGGGGAGTGAAGGGAAGTCAGTGTCAATGGCAGGATGTGGGGAGAGGCTCCTCCAGCCCCTTCCATCAGGGAGGAGAGAGTTGTTGCTTCTCTCCAGCCTCCTTTCCTCCTGCCCTGTCCTCAGACGATGCTCTCCATGGCCTGCATACCAAGGCAGACCAGCCATGGAGGACTCAATGGCCCCCCTTCGATAGCCTGTGTTGTTCTCCTCCTTGCTTACTCACCTGGCTCTCCTTTGGCTCCCTTCAGCCCATCCCGGCCATCCTTGCCTGGCACGCCCGGCATACCTGGCAGGCCTGGAACCCCATAGCATCCATGAGTGACATCTCCATTCACAGCAGACCCCGCATTCAGGAGTAGGAGGGCGAGACCCAGATGGAGCTGCTCCCAGAAGCTCTGCCCCATTTTGGTGCTCTGGAGCATGGAAAGGGAAAGAAAGTGCTCAGCTGAGGGGCCACAGCAGTGTGGCTTCCAGGCCATGGGGCAAAGGAGGTACTGTGCTAAAAGGCTGACTGCACCAGGAGCACCTGGATGCGACATCTGGGCCCTCTGTGTCCCCCCCATACCAATCGCCAGGCAGTGGGGAGGTGGATATGTGGAGATGGACCCTGGGCTCATCACCAACCCCAGAGCAGCCCCTGATGGCACAAGGAGGGTTGGACTTTCAGTCTGGATGGAGCCATGAGGTCTTGCAGTACCTGTGGTCAGCCCAAAGCTCTCCTGGTCCTATGTCCCAAACCCCCTGCAGACGCGTACGCTGCTGCAGACCGTTGCACCACGCTGCACTGAGGTTGGAGCTCCCTGGACACAGTGAATCTCACCCCTCCTCCAGCAGCAGCCTGACTTTCCTGGTTCTGCCCATCAGGATCAAGCCCCCATCAGCTGGGGATCTCCCAGGACAGTGCCTGGCCCCGGGAACTGGGTCTTCTCCCAGCAAGGACAAGCGTACATCATCCCCCCATGACGTGTGCAACCTGGCAGTGCCTCTGTCTCATTCTCCTCCTCCCACATAGCCCAGCACTGTGCCACACTGCTGGATCCCCAATCCCCATGCAGCCCACCCCAAAGAGACAGACCCTGAAGCTCCTCTTACCTCTGGTGAGGGGAGCAGAGCACGGGAACCTGCGCTGCTGAGCCCTCTGGATGCTGTGGGCACTGCCTGCCGGCACAGCACAGTGTGGATGACTCTCCGTGAAACCCTCCTGGAGGAAGTCACAGAGTTAGGAAAGGGCCCTTGGAGACCCAAAACCCCCAGCTGACCCCTAGCTGAGTTTCACATCCTCTTGCCTGATCGTTTTCTCTGAGCAAGCACTTTCCTGGCTGTCCAGTGAGACCTATACTTGTGACACTGCAACAGCAGGGACTGGAAGGACAGAGGTGGGATAAGCCTCTGCCAGGACATGTGCCACAAACCCTCCAACCATGACAGGGACTAGCCCTCTGCAAATCACCTGCCTTTCACCCACCATTAACTTGTTTCTGAGCAGAAAGGCAGTGACTGGATGGGGATCAGAGCCTCAAGCCAGCTCCATGGAGCCAGAGACTCCTGTGCAATGAAGGGCTGGTGCAAGGTCATTGCCTGGCTCTGATGGGAGATGCTGCACCCCTAGGCAATGGGACTGAATGCTTTTTCTCCTTGAGGGTTTCCAACCTGCAGGCTGCCTGTCCTCTCTGCACCTTGCCCTGTGCTCCACCAGCTGTGCCGGGTTCATTGGGGCCCCAGCATCCCTGGTCAGGGTGTTTCTCCTTGCAGGTGACCTGGCCTCCTCCTCACTGCTCCAGGAATGGAGACATTTGACTGCTCAGCATGTGTGGAGCAGCTCCTCCAAGCAGCAGTCCCAGGGTATAGCACCTGCGTGGCTTCCCTGATGCTTTCTAGCTGCCTGATACCTGCCCAGACTGCCCTATTTCCCACTAGTCTCACCCAAGCTGAAGAGGGTGAACATCACCCCAAAACCCCACCACCATCACCCCACAACCCTATCAGTCACCCTGATGTCCCTGTCCTTCCTTGCTGAAAGGCTGGAGGACCATAGCTGCCCTTCCCCTTCCTGGGAGAGTTGGGTACCAGAAGAGGACCGTGTGGATGAGGTGCATGATCTGCTGCCTGTATTGACCCTTGTACAGGACAGCTAGCTTGGACTCATCAGAAAAAGGACACACATAGGCTAGTCCCAGAGAGTTCCCATTCCTGTAAGTGCCAGCTCTGCTTGTATACTCGGTTCAGTCCTGTTCACCTGCCTTTGCAGTTGGGGTCTGCTTGGCCAGGGGCAAATTGGGATCACTTCTCTCCCTGGACAGCTTGGGAAGGGGCGCAGGACATTGATGGTTTGGGGAAGATGCATGAATAGGAAAGAAAACCCAAGCAGCTGTCTTGGAAGAAAGGTTTATTTATACTGATGGGGAGGATGTGAGAGAGTAGTGGCCCGGTGCCAGAAAGGCATTTGCAATGGTTAGTGTAGCAGAAGCAGTGGCATGCGGTGATTTCCCACTCAGGAACAAAGACCCACAGCTGGTGAATGGCCCCAGTGACAACTGGTCCCCTCTGGTGTGGGGTCGGAGTGCCCAGGAGCAGAAAGGGCTGTTGGGCCCAGCAGTCCTTTGCCTCCAGGATGGAGTGGGCAGGCCTAGCATGGAGATAAGTGCTAGTAGGGGTCTCACTACTGCAGTGGTGACCCACAGCCTGGGCACTTTGTGACACCGGTGGAAGAACAAGACCTGTCTGGTGGCTCAGTTTGGGGCCATCCCCGTTTGCTGTGGTACTAAACCACCCCATGCACTCACAGGGGGAAAACACATGCAGACACACACACACTGCAATGCTCTGGTGCTAAGCAGGTCCTGACCGGCAGTCCATCAGCCCATCTGAGGGAAGATCATGAAGCCGCTGAAGACACTGTCAGCCTCAGAGCCGCTGTAAATCGTGTTGCCCCTGGCAGAGTCAGTGCTCACGGAGACCAGGTCACCCACGGCCAGGCTGAGCACACTGCTGCCCGAGTTGACCTGCAGGATGTCACGGCTGTTGTAATCACAGAAGCTGACCACGCGCTCCCTGTTCTTGGTGATGGTCAGGCAGAGGTCCCCACTGGAGATCACCTGGAAGGCGAAGTAGTACAGCCCGGGGACGCGGCAGGTGAACTCCCCGGTCTGGGGATTGTAGGAGCTCTCCTGGTTGGTGATGATGTTGTCGAACACGACTGTCTTGCCATTGGAGGGTGGGGACCTCCGCGAAGCGGAGAAGGCAGGACGCGGATGATCCAGGATATTGCCAGCTTTCCCCTTGGGCCCCTTTAGCCCCTTCATTCCTGGCAACCCGGGGAAGCCACTCAGGCCAGGGTAGCCCTGGGCTCCTGGGTCGCCAGGAGGCCCCTGCTCGCCTGCATCCCCCTTGAGTCCCTTGATGCCCGTCTTCTGTGATGGTTTCCCTGGGGAGAGATGGTGAGGAGTAGCAGTTCGTGTACATCTGTCTGGCACCTCCTGAGCTGCTCCCACAGCCCGTGGTGCTCCTACCAAGAGGGCTGAGGCTCCCAGGCCACCCACGCTGCACATTCCCAGCTCCCCCTTACCTGGATCTCCCACGTCACCCTTCTGCCCTGGCCTCCCATTGAGGCCAGGGACTCCCGGGAAGCCGTTCTTTCCATCTGGTGCCCGACACACGTCATCCTCCAGCAGGGCCAGGCCCAGCACTGCTGCCAGGGTGCTGGTTGCCAGCCAAAGCCCAGGTTGCATCCTGCCTCCCTACAAGCACAGGGGTGGGGGAACTGGGGATGGAGGCAAGCACACAGCAAACACACAGATGCACCTTGGACACAGACAAGCAAGTGGTCTCATCAGATGCATGCACAGACCTACCATGCCACCCATGTGTTTTCCAATACAGACAGCCAGACACCACATGCAATGGTGGAAATAAATTCATGGAAGGATTTTGAGGCTGTTTCCTTGCATGATCTGAAATCTTTGATATTACTGAAAATCTCTGACATGTGCTCATGGCAGGGCTGTGCGATTGGAAAGCCCAGGACATGGAGCATGGCATAAATGCTTTGGTGCATGTCCTGGGAATGGGTTGTCGCACATCAGATGCACGTAGAGGATGCTTCTTCCAGTGCTGGGGGAGCAAGCCCTGATGTACGGGGCAGTGGTCCCATGGGATAGAGAGCACAAGTGAGGAAGGGATGCAAAAAGACTCAACAGAGGAGGGACAAACAGGAGAGGGATAAATAGGAAAGGATTAAACAGGAAAAGGGTAAACAGGCAAAGAGGATCCAGATCTCCAACACACAGAGCTGGGAGAGAGGAGAGATGTCCTGAGCACACACACCTACCCCAAAACCTGATGTACTCGGCACAGGACAAGCTTGCAGAGGCTAGTGATGTCCACAGCCACATGGAGCAAGGACTGATTCCTGCAGCTCCCCCCCCCCGCCCCATCATCTTCTCCTCCTTTTCCTATTTTTAAACACTTGTGGAGGGGGACAGGGATCAAGGACCGGAGAGCGGTGGCAGAGGAGGCATATGCCCCAGCTATTTGCATGACTTACCTCTTTGCTGGGGGTGAAGACAGACCAGTCTGAGCAGCAGCTCTGTTTGCTGGAAGATCTTCCTTGGGAGCAGGGAGGAAGAGGAGCAGGGTGGGGGAGATGTACGTGCATGCACGGTGGTTTGCCTGGTCAGGGAAGAGAAGTGCCAAGTTTCACTTTCTTTGCACATGAGAGAAACTTGTTCCCCTTTCCATGCTTGACCCTGGCTGTGCTGGGTACAGTCAGGGAACAGCTTGGTCAGCAAAAATGCAGGACTGCAGGGTTCCCAGCACAGTCCCCAAAGCAGGGACTGGTGGTGACTGGGCACAAAGCAACACAAAGGTGGAGGGTGCCCAAGGCATGCCACAGCTCTGTCACTGCAGGGGGGGACAGCTGATGTGAGCAGTAGGTGGCACGGCTAACCAAGGGATGCTCGGTGGGGCCCAGGGATCACTCTTGATGGCCCCTGGTCTGGGTGATGGACAGAGCACGGCTGTCACTGGTACCCAGCCTTGTCATTGCTGCTGCTGGGGACTGACGCCTCCAGATGCCCACCACGGTACAGAACCCTGACAGAGCAGGCCTCCAGCAAAGGCATCATCAGTGCCTGTGTGGCTCAGCAGGGCCTCGAGCATCCTTGATGAGGTATCTCCTTCCCACTGCCCTCACTTCAGTGGTTTGGGGACCTTGTCTCTGTAGTAGAGCAGAAGATGGGGGTTTCTGGCACCTAGGTTGCTCCCGGTCCCCTTTGAGTAGCTGTGCCTTGCGCCAGCCAGATCTTAGCAACTCCAGGAGCTGCGTGTCACCTGACCAAAACCTGCAAAATGAAAAAGCCAAAGCATCACACCACTGAGCCCAGGAAAGGCACCCAGGGCTGTGCATTGAGCTCTACCACAAAAGAACCCCAAAATGCCACCAGTACCCAAGCCCCACCGTGGCAGGGAACAGAGGGATGAGATGTGCCATAATGACCCCAGCAGGTGAACATCCTGGGGACCAGCCAGGCCACCCCATGGGGAACGCAGTGGGTAGATAGGAGGAGCTTTCTGATCCATATCCACCTGGAGTCTCCTTTCAGGAGTCCTGTGGCAGCTGCTGCAGTGACCTTCATGAGAAAGAGGCATTGGGGTCCCCAAAGCAAACATAGCAGCAGCTGGAGCTCGGGGGAGGATGTTCAAGGAAAGAGAACAGTGTGCAGGCCTGGGATCAGGGTGGTCCCAAAGCCAAGGGGGGCTGGCAAACCCTCCATTCCCCCTGCCCGCTGCCTCTAGCAGTCCCAAGGAAGGTGTTGCATCGTTTCCAAAACACCTGAAAAAGGGAATGACTAGTGTGAAACTAAAAATCAGCCCAGAGACTCTTGTCAGACAAAACTTTGCTCATCGGTGTATCTCCATTAATAATTACCTTTGGAGATCTGTCACTGAGCTGGTCTTTAATTCATTGACTATATGCCCTCTTAATGCAATATGATACACATTTTTAATCAAAATGTTACCCCGTAATAAATCAGATGCCCAGAAGAAATGCAATTTTATTTTATCAGCAGGGTTCCTCTATCAACCAGACCTGTAATCATGTCAAGAAAAGATGACAGGTGAGTTTGAAAAGACCTACCTTCCACAAAATGGTGTTTCTGGACAGTAATTGTATTTCTGCCCTATTGCCCTTTCTTAATATACAGCCAAAATAAGACCACTCCATCATTTCATCCAGGATTGATTGATGGCTGTGTCTTAGTGCTCCTGCGTCCTTTGTCCCTGGCTGTCCCCTTAGCCCCATTTAACTGCTGAATTACAGGGCACTGGTTACGGGTTTCCAGCATCTCCTGGAAGCTGGTGTTGGTCCAGGCGGCACCTCCTCCAGGTCCTTGAGACTCCTCAGCAGTGCTTAGCCCCACTCGCTTGACTTCCAGTGTTGCTGCGTTCAGGCCAAGCCTTCCTCTCCCATACTCTGAGCATCTCCTCCTCCTCCTCCCGATCTGCAGCTGGGACATCCGTGGCTCCGGAGGATGGATGGCTGCGGGGAGTTGCGGGTGAGCATTGCGCGGTGCCACGCAGGAGGCATCTGCAGACCGCATCTGCCAGCCCCAAAACACCTCCAACCTCGCACACTCCTCCTTCTCCCCCTTCCCTTCAGGGTGTCTGTGGGAGCGGGTGGTGGCCGAAGGACACGGTGAGGGCCGTGCCCGGCGTGGCCCAGGCAGGGAGGTGACACGCCACGAGATGGCAGTGCCGCCTCAGCCATGCTCGGTGTCACCTGCCCATCAGGGCTCGTCTTCCTCCTCCAAAAGCAGGTGGTGGTGGGGGAGCCCCTGGGGATCCCCGTGTCCCCAGAGGCCACCCGGCTGGATGTCCAGCCGCAGAGCAAGCACACGGGCATCTCCGCCTCGGCCCCTAGCAATTGCACGGCGGGAGCCAGAATAACCCAGCTCCCTCCTGCAAACGGCCCCAGTGAGGCCACCAGTGCCCTTCCCCGAAGCTGGGAGCAGTTTTGCACCCCCTGAGAATAGGGGAGAAGTGGTGTTTCCTCAGCGAGGACCAAGCCGTGGTGGAAGGTGCACGGGATCGTGAAGCCCTGGCAGGTTGTCCCAGCTGATGCAAGTCCAGCGGCGTCCCACCAGCACCACCATCAGTGGGCTCCAGCACGCAGAAGGGGCAAGGATGGCGGAGGGGACCCCCAGATGACATGAAATAGGGCCAAGTCCAAGGCAGAGGGGAAGGTGCGTGTACGCTGGAGTAGTCAGGGGATATAGGTGCTCTGCAGAGCCCCAGGCGGTGCCAAAACCAGCCCCAAAGAGGACAGCCCTGTGTCTGGGGGAACCCAACCACTCTGGTGAGCATCCACATCATTTAGGGCACCTGTCATGGCCTCCTGGCTCTGCTGCAGACCCAGGACCAGCCTTGCTCTGGATGGATTTTACCCTGAGCAACCCTTCTCCTTTCAGGGTGGGGCATGGGGCAGCTCCTTCAACCTCCTTGCTGCCCTCCAGCCTGGTGGTGCCAGGCAAGGTAGATCAGCACCATCCCAGCCTTGCACCCCTTTGTGAAAGAAAAGTGATCCCTGCAAAGCCTCCTCCCTGCATCCCCAGTGCCTGCAGGCACACACGAGCTGCCTGACAGCAGACAACAGGGAGAGATGCTCATCCGCTGCCTTCCCTGCTGGGGAACCCCTGGGGTGCTGAGCGATGACAGGCAGGAGCTGCCAGAGGAGGATAAATCAAGTAGCTAGCACCTACCTGTCACTCTACAGGACACAGAGACAAAGGCGGGTGGTGGGAGATCAGCAGTACTGGCAGGTACTACACACACCTCTGCTGCCAGTCACTGGCATCCCAGTCTGCCACCCACAACCCACTAGGAAGGCAGGACAGCTCGGAGCATCCGTGCTTCTGCAGTCATTGGAGACTTAATGATGCCTGAATAACCATGCAAACTGTTTTTTGTAGCTGTTGAGCTGGCCTGCCCCAAAATGCTCAACCCATGCTGCTGACCACCATTCCTGGGCAATGCAATGGTGTTTGCATGAATTCTGAAGTCTCCCATGCTTCAATCAATGAAACAAGAAGCTGGGATGGTTCAGGTGCCCTGGAAGGATTTCCTGAGATGTCAGCTGAAAATCAGGCTGCAAGGCCACTTGCCACATGATGTCTAAAATGTTTTAATTGCTTTCCCAGGGGATGTGTTATTCTTATGACAGATGCCTACATGGAGCATGTGTGAGGTGCAAAGACAGGTATGGGATTTAAAAGCAAGGATTTCACGCTCCAGCCCTTGCTCACTCTCTCCTGGCATTGATGCACATCCCTGTTGGCTCATGGGATGAGAAGAGAAGAGATAGATGAGTGCTGAGCAGCCCTGGGCAATGCTGGGAAAGCTTGTCCCATCCCTCCTCCTCCTGTTCTCTGTTAAGGATGTCAGGGCTTGTCATTATTCGACACCTATTGGTTAATTTGGCTGATTGTTTCCCATTCTTTAATGTATCCGTTATTTATTTATTCGCTTGTGTAACGAGCAGTTCCGGATTGATCTCTTTGGCATGTAAATGAGCTGCTCTAGTGCTTGTCACTGAAATTTGTAGATTGGGAGAGTTTGCAATCAAACACAGCCGGAATCTAAATTACAACATTTCAGGCAATAATAGCAGCGAGAAGACAGGAAGGATGTGCCATAAATAAGATGGGATCAGAGCAGGGTGCCCAGAGCTATGCTGACAACACACCAGGAGCCCGGAGGCATGCAACAGGAGTCCATGCTTTGCAGTGCCGAGGTGTGCCTGGCAGGGCTGATGTTGCTCTGCGGCTGGTTCCCCCAGGGGAGAAGGGCAAACGGAGGAAGCAAAAGTCTTTTGTGGAATGGTAGGGTCTGCCCGTGGCCAAAGGCTACTCACACAGATCCCTGAGAGGGCTGGTTAGCCTGGCATGGTGAAAAGTGTGCAGACCCAGGACTATGGGCTGCAAGGAACATCTGGCCCATTGTATGGGATACCAGTCTGATTGGCACCACGGCATGTGTTTGGCTTCTTCCCACCGCTCAGGGCTCCATCAAAAGTCAACGGATGCATCCAGGATGCAATTCTGTCCATCTCAAGATCAATAAGAGAGATCACTCAAGATAAGTAAAAGAGATCAAAGTGCCATAAGCCAGCAACAGGCACTGCGGCTGGGCTGAGGAGCAGGGAGCCAAACAGGACCTCTGCAAATCTAGGGGAAAAGTGCCTGTACCACTCTGTGGCAGGGCATCCCTGGACTGAAGTCCAGCCAGGAGAAAAGTGATGTTCAGCAGGCACAGGGCTGTAAAACCCAGCAGGGCTGGTGAAAGGACCTCTGCAATCTCCTGTCCAGCTGCTTGCTCATGGCAGAACTATTCCCAACACTAGATCAGGGCGGCAGTGGCTTTGCCTACCTAAGTCTTGAAACCCTCCAAGGACCGAGATCTCCCATTGCTCTGGGGACCTGTCTCAGGGCTGTACCAGGCTCAGGTGAAGAAGAGTTTCCTAATGTCTGTCCCAAATATTTGAAGGTCCAATGTGTGACCACTGTCCCTTGTTACATCATTGGGCACTAGTGACATGTGTTTGGCTCTATCTTCCTTGGAATTGC